GATTGCATTTTTAAGGAAATACAAGGCATTCTATTTATCAAATAAATGGTTGTGGAACAAGCAAAGAACCAGAATTTGGAAGGAAGTGTAGCTGTTTGCAATAAGGTGATGGCAGTTTCCAGAATGTGCCTATGCTTCCTTTCTGCCAATCCATTTTGCTCGGGAGTGTATGGGCAAGATTTTTGATGCAAAATGCCTTTGGTTGTTAGAAAATGTTGAAATTGATGACTTATGAATTCACCACCACCATCACTTTGGAAGATTTTAATATGAGCAGAAAACTGGGTACTTAAGTAGGCATGAAACTTAACAAAGATTTGAAAAACTTCTGCTTTATTTCTTAATGGAAAAATCCATGTGTATCGAGTACATTCATCCACAAAACTAACATAGTACCTATACCCTTCAAATGACATCACAAGAGCAGGTACCCATACATCACTATGAATAACCTCTAATGGAGTTACAGACTTAGTTGCAGGTAAAGAAAAAGACAACTTTGTAAATTTGCCTTCCAAACAGGGAGTACAAATGTTGTGACAGGTATCTGTGAATGCAGATGGTTTGATGTGTTGGAGCATTGCAGATGTGACTTTATTGGAGGGATGCCCTAAGCGTTGATGCCATAAACTTGTAGTAACTGGTTTGGCTAGATAACATGCATGTAATGTGGATGATGCAGGTGGTTTCTGCTGTGGAGATTTAAACAGAATGGGGTAATAGTCAGCTTTACACAGTCCCTTGAGTAGGATTTTCCCTGTGATTTTGTCCTGAACCCAAAGAGAAATATCATCACATATGAATCTACAGTTGTTATCCTTGCAGAGTTGATATATGGATAATAACTATTGTGAAAGTTTAGGCACATGCAACACATTGTTCAGTGTAAAGATAGGGCTAGGAGCTTGCAGTGTAGATGTACCAATATTAGAAATTGTCAAAACTGCACCACTAGCAGTGGTTATTGTATCTGTGCCTTGATAATGAGTAGCCATGTCAAGATTTGGAAGCTCTGAAGTCATATGAGAAGTGGCACCAGTATCCGCAACCCAGAATTGTTCAGATGATGGAGAAGGATTGTGACTTGCTTGCATCGCAGTGAGATTAACTGACGGTGGTTTCCCTTGATATGCAAAGTTGTTTCTGTGATAACATTGAGTAGCAGAGCGTCCAAACTTCCAACAAATTTGACATTGAATAGCTGCTCCATGTCCAGTAGTTGATGTATTATGCCTTTGAAAGCAATCTGCAGCCACATGACCTTTTTTGTTACAGATTTGACAAGTGGGAATCACATTTGGATGATCAGGACAAGTGTGTTGAAAAGCTTTTAGGGCGCCAAGAATTCTAGGACTAGAATTGTATGGTAGAAAGTGAAATCTGGGACCGTTGTTATACTGAAACCTGCCTCTTCCTTTACCTCTGTAATGTGTCCCTTTGTATCCCCCAGAAGACATTGTATTACCATAATTGCCATTAAGATTTTCAGAGCCATTTAGAGAAGATCACCCTTGTCCAGAGTGAAATCCATTAGAAGTAGATCCGCCATTGAAACTGTAGCCTTGGCTTGAAGACCCAATGTCAAATCCCTGAGACTGAGATGAACAGTGATCAAGGCTAAGAGCTTTGCCTTTTTCAGATTGAGTGCTTGCAACCATTGCAGTTCTAAAAGACAAGGAAGATTCACAAGACTGTCCAATTATAGCTTCTTCAGCAAGAAGCTGTGATCGAAATTCTTTCAGGGAAATCCCATTCTCTCTGCCCCTAACAACACACCGAAATGTATTATAATCAGCAGACAACCCTTTTAGAGCAAGGATGATTATGTCATCATCATCAAATCGAACACCAACTGCAGAAAGATGATCTCTGGCATCTTTAATCCTTTGTAGATAGACAGATACTAAATCGAACCCTTTCTGTATGTTCTGAAGCTCTGTCTTCATCGGAAAAATGGTAGTCTTTGTAATTGTAGAAAACCTTTCTTTGAGATTTGTCCACATGGCATGAGAAGTTGTACTGCCAAGCACACAAGAGATCGCAGTAGATGACAATGTAGCTATGAGAAGCTGCATAAGAGCCCGATCATGCATTTTCCAAACCTGATAGGCATCAGTTTCAACCCCTTCAATATTCGCTTCATCAAGAAACCTTGGTGGACATTGCTTGGACCCATCAACAAAACCAAGAATTCCATGACTGTCAAGCAGAAGATTGATCTGAAAACTCCATACAAGATAGTTTGAATCATCCAATTTGACTATAACAGAAGACGACACAGTAGAGATGAGACTTGTAATGGGTGATTGCACAATATGCAATTGCGCTGCGGTAACCATTGGTGCAACAACAAGAGAGTGCTTGACTTCGAACTTTTATCGAACAGTTGGTGGGCAACTGTGGAGGAGACGAGTATCTTGAGTATCGGGACTTTGATGAGCCCAGAAATCTCAGAAAAATTAACAAATCAGAGGATTGAGAGAAAGAAATATATGTATCAGATAGTATGCAGAAGCTTTGGATTCACCTACGGCGATGATACCATGTAAGAACTGCAGAAAACTTAAAGACGAAGAAAGAAGAAAGAACGCAGAAGAAAGAAGAGGAAATTAGAGAGAGAGAGTCAGGAGAGAAAACCAGATTTAGAGAGAAGAAAAGACTTGTTATTTTTCCACACTTTCTTTACAGTTTACAAACTGTTATATGTAGTTACAAAACCTTCTCACTAAGCTAAGGACTAACTGCTGTCTAACTACCTTATAACAAACTATATAGGATCTTAACAAGTGTCATTCATTTTTGCCATAGATTTGTCTTTCACTTGGAGGTTGGTTTTTCTTACTTCACTATTCTTACAGCCTCCAAACTCTTCTTCTGAATCATCTGACCGCCGACACACAAGAGCGACCCAAGCCAACAAGGCTCCCCATTTTAACCACCTAATACACAACTCATACTAATTATTCTAACAACTGAAGTAGAGGCACGACAGTTGGCAAGAATTTGAAGTCTCATATGGGCTCAAACAAATGGAAACACACATTAAATCATAAAGCGTAGCAACATCAGTATTGATTAACAACCAGAAAAATTCAAGAGAAAGAATCAGAATCACACATTCATCTAAAGCGTCGCAGTAAAGCCAATAATAAATCAGCATAAGCCATTCAGAATACTGAAATGTGAAACACTCAAATAAATGTGAAACAGCAGTCAAAAAGCAGCTCGTACGAAAATCCGCAGAAACAGTGGGCAATGTGCATGTTGACAAGATGAATATGCATTAGAAGTAGAAACAGTCAGTAAATGACCATACAAAATTACATATCTTAACATTGAGTATGGATATCATATCCTGCAATTTCATATCCATAATAACATGCTTATACCGAAACCTCTGGAGCACCTAACCAAGAGATTACACAGTAACAGTCGGTAGATGACCCAGCAAACTATATTTGTTAAGATTTTTTGCATTTTTGACACATTCAGATTTACAGTAGAGAGATTTTTTTGTACACATAATTATAAACGTAGTGATTCTTCAATATTGCAACTTTGATGGCTCTGAAATTTAACCTGAAAATTCATGCTGCAAATAATTTGATAAAGTGGGAACCATTCTTTTGCACATAATTTCAGATACAGAGATATTGTATCATAGAACATTACGATTGATTTGGACAAAGAAGAGGCATTAGATTGTGGTATCTAAAATAGTTGACACTGTAAGATTCAGTACTTTCTAGATGAGTGTACAGGAGGAGTTTGGATACCTCGCTTATATTTCCGTGCTGATGTTGTGATCAGGTCCAAGGCTATGTTCTTTCTAATGTAAACTCCCTAAAGGTTAAATTAAACTTTAAAATGATCTTGTTGTAATTGAGCGAAAGTCATTATTTCATTCCTTAGCTTTGCAGTCTTGGAAGGAGGAAAAATTTCTGCAAAAATTTGTTGGCCAAATCATTCCAAAGTTGTTATCGAATTGGATGGAAGTGAGTGGAGCCAATTCTTCGCTTTGTCTTCCAGTAAGAATGGGAACATCCGTGGTCTAAGAGCCTCACTTTGCACATGCTGGATATTGAGAGTGTCACATATCTCGAGGAACTTATTGGTATACAAATTAGGATCTTCGATCAAAGTAATAAAGTAATCAAGGAATTTAAATAACGTGTTGCAGCTAGTTAGTATTATGATTTGTGATATTCTTTTTTATCGTTGAATAAGAAGCTTTAAGTTCGATTTTTGTCAAAATAAATTTAAAACATATTATTTCTAACCTAGTCCTGTTGCATACGGAGTAAATAAAGAGCGAGGAAAATGGGGGTGCACAGTAAGAGGAAAGTCCCACGGGTCGGGTCCAAATAACGTGTTGAAGAAGGAGGGAAGCAAGAGGCAGGAAACAAGGGCGTAATAAAGTAATCCAAATGACTTGTTGCCGAAAGAGGTAAGAAAGAGAGAGGAAACTGGTGGGGTGATAAATTAATACAAAGAACGTGTTGTAGACGGAGGGAAGAAAGAGCGAGGAAGCTGCTGGGGTGCACGGTGAAACAAATATAATAGTAAAGTCATCCAAATAGAACTTTGTGTTCACACAGAACGAGGAAGCTGCTGGGGTACACGGTGAGACAGGGGTCCCACGCAAGCCATGTAAAGATGAACCAGGATCCTCGTCGGATCCATTCTCTAGGGATCCTAGAGATCACGCAATCGTGTCCGTTTATCGTATATCGTGTAGTTAGTTTTCGTTAGGTACTATTTATATTTGAATTTTAAATTTTAAATAATTTATGACCGCACGATGTACAATGAACAAACACGATTACATGATAGGGAATGGATCCGACGAGGATCCTGGTTCTGTAAAGATGAGTTGCATTCACACGCAAGTCAGTCACGAAACAATAGAGTGGTATAACAACTCATGCTGTCTCCTTCACATTCACGAAAGATTTTTCAACCGTAATATAGGATGGTATATTACGTGTCGTTATATGAATTGTAGGATATGTATATTAAAAAATTAATAACTAAAAAAATAAAATTTTTTTTCACTTACATAAAAATACGTGATATACCATCTGTGTTTCTGTCACATCTCAAAATTTCTCCACATTCACACCCTCCATGATCACACTAAGAGGACACGTGTTCACACACAAAACAAATAGTTAAGTGGTATGACAACTCACGCATTCACACACTAAAACTACAAAATATATAATCAGCGATATTGCTATTCACATTCACATTCACATTCACATTCACACCATCCGTGATCAGATGCAGTCAGTACCTTCCCCTTTCCTCTCCCTGAGGAGACCCCAGCGCCGTCTCGAGCTGAAGCGCTACAACCTTGTCTCGTCTCAGCTAGTCTGCTGCTTCCAAGCCCAAGTCCAGCTCCAATCCTCCGCCAAAATATCGAACCCAAAGTAGGGGAACACGATCAACAGCCCCGGTGGCAATAGAGACAACCAGAGAAGGCGGTTGAGATCTTAAACAGCCAGCAACGGAGCAAGACTGAAAAGGTGTAAAATTGTTTCCCTTTGCCAATTGTGATACGCGATCTGTAAATATAGTCCCTGCAAGAAGATGGATGCTCAATTGAGAGCCCTCCCCACCTCATTTCCGTCATGCTGTGGCCTAAACCTGATGTGGTAGGTATTTATTTGTTTAATTGTTTACCTCAAGTTCTTTTTCTATTTCATTTTTCAGATAGTCGGGAATATATGTATATCAAGTTCTGTTATTAATCTTATTTTTTTACTACAACGATATATTTTACACTAACGAATAATGAGTTTGACTAAGATATACAATGAAGAATCTAATTTAGTATTAAATTTGTTATCTACAAGATTCGAATCCAAGTTCTAATTAATACTATCAGGGGAACAAGGGCAACCTCTCTTTTTAATTCTTTTTATATTTTTGGTCATAACCTCTTTTTTTATTTGTTTTTAATAAATAATATTATTTATATTAAAAATGAGGGGTGAATTTAGTTTTACAATGAACTAGTTATAACTTAAGACTTCTTACTTTTCAGTTAAGAGAAATACTATTAGATCGTACTATTAAGTGACTTTTTAAATTTATTTTTAGATCTTCGAGATTGATTAAGAAGACATGAGAATCCCGTTTTAGGCAATCATCTCAATTTGTAGGACTAGGATGTTATCGGACAATTGTAGAATTCAAAGCCTTCTGCAAAATTTAATTAATTCTCCAAACAATTAATACTGCTAAACATAAAAGAAATTGATAATTTGTTGAACAATGATGTGTCACGTTTCGATCCCGACATACGTCAAGGACCGACACATGACACGGAAATGCATAAGTCATTAAATCTGATGTAAGATACGAAATTGAAATACTATAAGTAATATCCTAAAATAAATATGATAATGGGTTCACCCTCACAAATTATATACAAGTCTGTACATTTAAAAAACACAACACCCGTTAAGCCAAGACAAGCCCATGGTGCATAAAAGAGAGTCCTAAAAGAAATAGTACAAGGAAGGATAAGGGGTAACCTAAACGCTCTAAGTCTCTGATCTCTACACTGCTACCCCCACTGACTTCTCGTAATCTACTCAAACCTGTCACATGTACAATCAGTGCCTACACCATGGGAATGGTGCACCAAGCAAACAAAAACCCGGATAAGCTGTGAAGCTCATATGAGTGACAATAATACAACGTATGTGATAATTAATAAAAACAGACCATCAATCATTGTTTATAAACCTCAAATATAAATTCATACTTACAAAATCATAGTCAAGTCACTAAAATGAGCCACCCAGACATCCAACATCTTTTCTAATTCAAACCACAAAGATTCTCAAAACTATCGTTCATAAATACACTAAAAACTAAAGCTAGAGTGACGTAGTTCGGCCAAAGCCTACAGAAGTAACCAAACAGGAAGTGGCCTCCGTAGCAGATTAACCAAGCAGAGCCACCCCTAAGAAAGTAACCAAGTAGGTAGTGACCCCCCATCGTGGATTAACCAAGCAGAGTCACTCCTATGAAATTGTTAGGCAGTGATCGCTTATCACGGATTAACCAAGCATGATCACCCCTAAGTATGTATGTATGGCCATACCTAAGATATAAGGATCGCCCATCATGGATTAACCAAGCATGATCCATAAATAGTATGGTCCCTTATCGCGGATTAACCAAGCATGACCATCCATGTATCACTGCTACATGATGCAGACTCGATGTCACCTAACCCCGTGACACTAGGTTGACGGTCCTTTACTAGCCCTCACGTTTAACAAACATTTCAAATATATATTTTAAACATAATTCATAAATATTTCAAATAGACAAGTCACATAATATTTCATAAAGTAGATCGATGGCAAACTTTATAAAAAGGGAGTTTTAACGAAAAGCCCATGATACCGTTCACTTTAACGAAAAACCATATTTTTACACTAAAAATTCAATCCTAGTACTATTCACTTTACCCTTTATTTTATCCTTATCATTAAAACTCAAAGTTTTCAAGCCCTTTTCATTAGTTTTCCTTTATAAAAACAATTATTTAGCATAAAACATAATTTAGAAATTCATGTTGTATCCACAAAGTATACTAGCATGGGAGGTTTTTCAGGGTAATAACTATATCACATATGTTAAAGTCACTAACCTGAAGTCCGCACTAACGCACCCTAGCACAATAATCAAGATGTCACATACTATTGTCGCCTAAGCCAAAGTACAAGTCCACATTTAGAATTCTTTCGATAATTCATATAATCAAAAATTCTCATATGCTCCCCCTACAACAAATGAAGAGAAATTGAGACACGTTGACAAAAAGTCAACCCTCGATCAACGGTAGGGTCTACAACTCTACGTAACTTGATCCGTAAGATCCATCCACTAGATTTCCAATTTGTAAGTTCCTAAGGTCCTCAAATATTACAAACAATAACATTGCAAAGTTTGGTGACGATCCAACGGTTAGATCATCGTTTGTTACAATATTCAAGTGGCAGACCTTAACGAAAATATATTCAAACGATGAAATTTCGTCAATTGGATGTCAAATATCGAATCAGGGCGTCCAATTTAGTCTAGGGAGGTCAAGTGGTGTCTTAGCCCACACGCCGCCCCAACTACTCTAAAAATCCCAGCCTAAGGGCCTAGGGGCTAGGCGTCTGGCCACAGTCCCGATTAATGCCTAGGCGTTTGAAAAATAAGAACGGGTGCCTAAACCTGCTGAGGCACCCACCTAAACCGCCTAGACACTTGCCTAACCTGCCCAGACCCTAGGTCGTGACTCACTTAGACAGAAAATAGATAACTTTTCTTTTTGCATTTTTATTTTTTTAATATATTGTAAGAGACTTGTTGCATACTTAAATGAACACACTTATATCCTCCCCATGTTTTCATTATGTTCTAATACTGTATAATATGTATGTCATTCTACTTTTGCAATTTATGATGAAATTATGTATATTTTAGGTATAAGCACACTTATTTACATAAAATATAATAGATTTACTTAAATCGGCCTAGTCCTCCTTGGCACTCGTCTAGCCGGTTAGGCGCTAGTCCCCAGTCCACCGCCCGACTAGCGCTTAGCGTTTTTTAGAACCTTGGCCGCGCACCCCGATTCGCCAGAAAATTCACCTAATTCCAAAATTCATTAAATTATACCAAAATGAAGATCGTGAGGAGATGAGTAATTTTTATGCCTGGGCCGAGGTCCAATTCGATCAAGAAGTGGCCTGAAAACACCAAGAACCACCGAAATCCCTAGAAATGGGTGTTCTTAATTTGTCTTCCCCAGTGATCTGCTGCCCCCAAACTTGTTTGGGCCTTGTTCCTGGGTTCAAGATGAGTCGACTATGGGTGGTGGTTGGTGGTGCTGCTTGTAGGATTGGTGGATCATCATCGAGAACCTCCCGATGACTTCGATGCTGTTCTTCGAGAAACCGAGGCAAAAAACCCTTAGGTTTGGGTGGAGATGGAAGATGGGAGGTCGTTGAGTAAGTTAAAGGTGGTGGATGGTGGCGTTTCGATGGAAAAATCGACGGAAATCACGTCGGAATCATCACAGAAACAGGTTAGGAAAAACAAGTCGCGGTGTCTAAAATGAGCCAAAGGTTTAGGGTTCAGGTTGCCTGCTCTTCTTTCTGATTGGGCAATCCCCCTTTCTTTTCTCTCATTTCTCTTTTCTTCGTTCCATCACAGCCACACATATGGCTTCATCACAGCCCTTCTTGGTCTAGCAAAGCTGGAGCCTTCTGGAATTGAAGGTCGTAATGACTAATGTCTATGACTTTATTCGTTTAAAACTCCTTCGTAATAATTCTATTTTTTTTTAACAGTTTTTTCCTATGCATTCGTGAGATCGAGCCCTATCCAATATGTAAATAAAAGTGACAAAACATATAAGAATTAAATACGTCCTCGAAAAGTTCACTTAGTTCATTAAGGGCATTTTCGTCATTTTACTTATCCAAAAAAAACTATACACCGTAAATATAAAAGCGTTGAACTAAGAATACATATATGAAATATGAGATACATAATTTTAAATAGTGAAATGTGGGGACGGGCAAGGCGATAGGCAACCTCACCAACTTTCTCCAAGACCTCAAACGGCCCAATGTACCTCGGACTAAGCTTCCCTTTACCCTGAATCTAAGAACGCTTCTCATAGGGGAAACCCGTAGTAAGGCATATTCTCCAACTTCAAATGTCACCTCACGTCTGTAGGGATCGGCATAACTCTGTTGTTGACTCTGAGCTGCTAATAAATGTGCACAGATCATAGAAATCTTTTCTGTAGCAATCTGTATTAACTCTAGTCCTAATAATCGACGCTCTCCTACCTCGTCCCAGTATAAAAGAGTCTGCACCTCCTCCCATAAAGCGCCTCGTATGGTGACATCTGAATATTCGCCTAATAGTTGTTATTATATGCAAGCTCAATCAACGATAGATGTTTGTCCCAGCAACCTTTTAAATAAAGTACACAAGGTCGAAGCATATCCTCCAAAGTCTGACTGGTGCTCTCTGATTGACCATTGGTTTGAGGATGAAAAGATGTGCTGAAACTCAACTTAGTCTTCATAGCATTATGAAGGCTACTATAAAAACGAGAAGTGAAACGGGGATCTTGATCGAAAATTATCGACATTAGAACTCCATGTAACTTAACAATCACATCTAAAAAGAGTCGCAAGTCACTCAAGAGTATAAGTCTTCGTAACAGCGAGAAAGTGAGCGGATTTCGTTAATCGATCGACGATAACCCATATAGAATCGTGCCGATCTCGAGTCCTCTGTAAGCCTATCACAAAAACCATAGTAATTTACTCCCATTTCCACTTGGGAATAGGGACTGACTGAAGTGAGCTCGCAAGCCGTTAATGCTCTACCTTAACTTGTTGACAAGTCAAGCAATGGGTGACGAACTTGGTAATCTTTCTTCATATTTCCCTACCAGAAACTATCACGAAGATCTCGATACATCTTCGTACTCCCAGAGTGAACAGAAAAAAGTGGAAGTATAGCCTCATCCATGACCTCTATCTGTAGATCTCTGACATTTGGAACACAAAGTCGGGTCCCGAAACGAAGCACACCGCTGTTATAAATGGTAAACTTGGGCCGAGTACCTACTAGTACTCCATCCATGATCTGAACGAACTCTGAGTCCTCATTCTGGGCTACCTAAATCCAATCAATCAACATAAGTTGCACACTAAAGACCCCAATCCCGACATACATCAAGGATCGACATGTGACACAGGGATGTATAGGTCGTTAAATCTGACATAAGACACAGAATTGAAATACTATAACTAATATCCCAAAATAAATATGATAAGGGGTTGACCCCCCACATAATATATACAAGTCTATACACTCAAAAAACACAACGCTCGTTAGGCAAGACAAGCGCATGGTGCACAAAAGAGAGTCCCAAAAGAAATAGTACAAGGAAGGATAAAGGGGTAACCTAAATGCTCCAAGTATCTGATCTATGCACTAATACCCTTACCGGCTTCTCATAATCTACTCATACCTGTTACCTATACAATCATTGCCTACACCATGGGAATGGTGCACCGCGCAAACAAGAATCCGGATAAGCTGTGAAGTTCGTGTGAGTGATAATAATACAACGTATGTGATAATTAATAAAAACAAACCATCGATCACTGCAGGATTGACGAATCGTTGTCGAGAACCTCCTAAGCATTCCGGTGCTGTTATTCGAGAAACTGAGGCCAAAAACCCTCGAGTTTGGGTGAAGATGGAAGAATGAAGGTTGCTGAGTAGGTTACAAGTGGTGGATGGTGGCGTTTCAATGGAAAAACTGACGGAAATCACGTCGGAATAATCACGGAATGGGTCGGGAAAAACAAGTCGTGGGGTTTGAAATTGGTCAAAGGTTTGGGGTTCAGTTGGCTGGACGTCCTCGTTGGTACACATCCAATTAAGGATTGGCTCTGATACCAAATTGTCACATCCCGACCCGGGCCCCTACCACATCCGAGGCTCGACTCCACCGTAGCACGATATTGTCCGCTTTGGGCCTCGACCACACCCTTACGGTTTTGTTTCTGGGAACTCACACGAGAACTTCCCGGTGGGTCACCCATCCTGGGATTGCTCTCGCGTGCTACTCTTTTAACTTCGGAGTTCCCATGGAACCCGAAGCTAGTGAGTTCCCAAAAAGCCTCTTGCTAGGTAGAGATGAGAATATACATATAAGGCTTACAGGATCCACTCTCCTGGGCAATGTGGGATGTTACAGGTGGCTTCATCATAGCCCTTCTTGCTCCAACAAAGCTGGAGCCTTCTGGAATTGAAGGCCAAAATGACTAAAATGTCCTTAACTTTATTCGTTTATATCTCCTTCGTTATAACTCCGTTTTTCGAACGGTTTTTGCCTACGCGCTCGTGAGATCGATCTCTATCCAATGTGTAAATAAAAGTGACAAATCATGTAAGAATTAAATACATCCTCGAAAAGTCTGTTTAGTTCATTAAGGGCATTTTTGTCCTTTTACTTATCGAAAAAAACTATACACCGTAAATATAAAAGCGTTGAAACTAAGAATACGAATATGAAATACAAGATACGTAATGTTAAATAGTGAAATCTGGGGACGGGATTTCACAAATGATATATTTCTACATAGAAGCTTGTATGAGCTTTCATAACAAGTTGAAGGTGACAACTTCACATGTTTCCCTGCTGAGAAAAATTTATGTGTCTTTTGTCTTTCAGAATCATTTTCGATGTTCGCTTAAATCTAGTCTTTGCTTACGTACCATTCTGAAGGGTGTCATCAACGGCGCACCTCCGACTCTGAACTAATTTTGAAACAACCAAACTGAAAGCGAATACAACAGGCAAAGGGGATAGTTTGATAGGACTAGTAGTATGGCGACGGCTGAAATGATACTGCACTGCTGAGCAAATGCATTGAACAATGGCAAGACCTAATCCAAAAATTTCAGGGAATGTACCAAAAAGCATGTTATTTGGAGGTGGATAGTGAAAACACCATAGCATTCCCCGCCTCCTCAATACAACTCTTTCCTTTATAGCATTTTGAAGGAGCTCGCAGATGCAAACAAGTATAGCCACAATTGCCAGCAGCATACCAATTAATGCGTAGTGAGGATAACGTGGGGAGGAAACCTGATCAAAAGCCGATGCCAGAATCTCAATGCCGCAGCTAGTGAGTAACAAGATCCATTCTGATGAAGTAACCTACAGTAGAAGTTCTAGTGAGTAATAGGATCCACATTAAGTTCTAATTTTTTTTCATTAAAACCTGGTGTAGGATTAGATATTTGATCTTAGGCTTAAATGTCAAAATGGTCTCTATGTTATAGCCATATGACCAATTTACTCTCCGTGTTTTTGATTTGGCTAATTTAGCCCTTGTGTTTGCCTCTTTTAGCCAATTAAGAACATTTCATTCAAATTTTTTTTTTAAATTCATTAAAAAAATTATATGAGATAGAATTACCCTTTATCTTTACATAAAAATGCAAATCAACGAGAAATAACACATATAAGAGATAAAACTTCCAATTTGAAAAATGATTAAGGTGGTAATATAGAAAAAAGAGGGGATAATGTTAGGGAGGAGGTGGGGAGTTGGGAGGAGAATAACTTTTCTTTTAATTTTTAATTTATATTATTTTTAAATATTTTTAATCAAATAAATAATTTAAAAATTAAGTTTATAATAATTTATAATTTTTTTTACAGAATGATCAAATTGGCCAAATTAAAAACAATGAATTAAATTGATCGAATGACTAAAACACACGGACCATTTTAACATTTAAGCCTTGATCTTATTCCTCCATGTCATCATGATTATTATAACTCATATTTTGTTGTTTTTAAACTCTTTAATGGCTCTTTTTGTTCCCATTGTGCCCCTGTAATTAATTATTCAACCTTCTTGGTATGTTACTAATTTTGACTTTGATTAATTTATGCTTGATTTGTTCCATGATTATAGTGCCTGGAAAGATTTTTCATATCTTCATGCCTAAATTACAACATGAAAAAAGTCAAGGTATCCTTTGATGTTGCATCTTTAAATGGCGGATGCTAATTTTGAATTTAAAAAAAAAATCAGAAACCATTTAATAGCAATATTTAGGGGTAATATAGGAAGACAAAACATAGTAAATTACATAAAAGAAATTAAATATGACGTGAACTATAAATGCTGATTTGAACACGAGTTAAACGACTAAAATTAGTTTTTAATCTGATTAGAACAAAGTCAATTGATTAAAATTAGTTTTTGATCTTATTTACGGTATTTATTTAGAAGTAATCATTTCCTAGGTCTATAAGTTTTCTATTTTTTTATTAGAAGACAGAGAACCTTCCGATCCCATGGATAAAAACCAGCTGACAGAAGCTCAAGACCAATACCCGTATCACATGGCGTTGCTCGTCAACGAGGCCCTGCAATCAAGAGTAGTAATCACCCAAATTACTTCTAAGTTCATTTGAAATTATGAATGATAAACGAATACGAGAAGAAAATACTTGTTTTAAGAGCTAAGAGTCTAAGACAAGGAAAGTTCGATCAAAGGATTAAAAAAAAATATAATAAAATAAAAGGGTTTGCACCTCTCCATTTGAACCACTTTCAGAATGCTCAGATTCGGATGACATGGTTAGGTAGAGTGAGTTAACACCCCTACGTGCTTGGATGATGCCGTCGTGGCAGAAAGGGCATTTGATTTCGACTTCGACATCCACAGTGACCAGATGACAACAACTGCAGCAGTAGTACCTAGTTGGAATTGCCTCCTCGGTTGTATTTATCTCGTTCATCTCCCCACTATCTTTTGCTGCACAACAGTATATGGACTAGAATCATACAGAAATAACTGTACCATAACGAGCAAAACAGCCAACCAACAGGCAATAGCCTTGCGTTTTTTAGAGTAACCGCACGCACCTTCCATAAATTGATGTGCAGCTTTGAAAAACAAGGCTGCGATCCGCAACTTGATCAAGGGCTGGAAGTTGAAAGTTGAAATAAAATACGAAAAATGAGTTGGCAAGGATGCATATAGAAATTTGGTATAGGGGAACTAATGAACTTAATTGATTGGATACAGAGAGGGGAGAAAGGGAGAGAAGGGGGGGAGGGGGGAGGGAGAACCTGAGCGGCAAGTTCGTGATTGGCAGTGCCATTGGGCGTCACTACTCCGACTCCGACACCAACATTGCTGTCAGTGGGCGTCACTACTCGGACGCCGGAACCAACCTTGCTGTCTTTCAGGTAACTTTTCATCTGCATCTGCATCTCCATCACTAAGGCCTCCTCCCGGTGTGTGTGTGTGTATGTATATATAGAGGGAGAGAGAGAGAGAGAAGCAAAATGGTAAAGTTTTTAATAATTTTATAATTCTAAGTCTATTTTAAAATTATTTAAAGAATAGATGCAATTTAATTAAAAAGGAACCTTTCATTAAACTTCTGATGATTGGAGAGAAAGAGAATGAGGGGGTCGGAGGGAGAAGATATTTTTCAGTGAGAGCAGCAAGCTTGTGAATGGCAGTGTCAGTACTACACCTCCAACGACGACACCAACACTACACAAATATTGCTCCATCTCCATTTCCGTCTTCCAACAGCTTCCTTGCAACTTCCTTCGCCGTTGATCCTATCAGTTAACGCGTCAATAGTTTATAGCTTTCTTTCTTCCATATATTAAACGTCTTTTACTCGCGGTCTGCTCTTTTACATCTCATTGTAATTTTTTTTTTATATAATATTATTTTATTTTATTTTTCAAATTTTAGAAATAAAGAAAGAAAAACTGTTCATGTAGTGTGACACACCCCGACTGAAATCAAGGCGTGCTGGCCGTCACGAGAGAGTGACGTAGCCATGTGCATAGTGCGGAAGCTAAGATAATAATAAAAGTACAAATAAATAAAACCAAACTACAAAACAATTGTAAGATCCCACATCGCCCAGGGGAGTGATCCTTATATGTATTTTCGCATCTCTACCTAGCACGAGATCTTTTGGGAGCTCACTGGCTTCGGGTTCTATCGGAACTTCGAAGTTAAACGAATAGCGCACGAGAGCAATCCCATGGTGGGTGACACACTGGGAAGTTCTCGTGTGAGTTCTTAGAAACAAAACCGTGAAGGTGTGCTGGGGGCCCAAAGCGGACAATATCATGCTACGATGAAGTCGGGCCCGGGAAGTGGTCCCGCCCGGGCCGAGATGTGACAATTTGTTATCAGAGCCTAACCCTGGTCGTGGTGTGCCGACGAGGACGTCGGGCCCCTAAGGGGGGTGGATTGTAAGATCCCACATCGCCCAGGGGAGTGATCCTTATATGTATTTTCACATCTCTACCTAGCGCGAGGCCTTTTGGGAGCTCACTGGCTTCGGGTTCTATCGGAACTCTGAAGTTAAGTGAGTAGCGCGCGAGGTCAATCCCATGATGGGTGACCCACTGGGAAGTTCTCGTGTGAGTTCTCAGAAAAAAACCGTGAGGGTGTGCTGGGCTAAAAGCTGACAATATCGTACTACGATGGAGTCGGGCCCGGGAAGTGGTCCCGGCCGGACCGGGATGTGACATAGTGGGTGGTTTTGTTCTGTTAATTTGATTTTGTTATTATTAAATTTTTTAATTTTAAATTTCAATTAAAGGGGGTAATTTGGGATTTTGAATGAGACATATTTTTGTTTTCGGGCTTTATAAATATAGATATAGAAGAGAGCAACAGGAAAGTATTTAAAATCTTCATCAACAAAAAAAATAAAAAGAAAAAAAACAGAAAGTACTTAAAATACTATAAATTGTTCTTCAATAATTTTAAAAATTCCACTTGGATTAAAAGAAGTTAAAATAATTCAAGACAGAAAGAAAAATAAAAAGAACTGTTATTAATTTTAATGAATTTAAAATTTAAAACTTTTAGAAAAATAAAACAAAATCAAAATGAACTGTTGTTAGCACTCCAAAAATCTCTATCTACACTCTTCACAAGTGTATTTTTCTTTTTATTATAAAAAGTTTAGAATGTCAAATGAGATTGTTGAATGATAATTATCCAAACAAAAATCCCCACATTAGTGACAGAGAGAGTTGATTACGTGTAAAGAGAGGGGAGAGTTGCTACTACTTTCTAGTGGCCAAAAATCCCGCCGTTTGAGTGCGGAGACCTTTCGTGGTATTTACCAAGAAATACTAAGGGAATAGAAAATCTGATCAAAAATAAATAAATTTGAATTTAAAATAATATTGTTCTCTCCTCTACATGAACTGGAAACTTTCGACGTAAAATTTGGAGTCTCTAAATTATACGTGCTTTGGTCGATTGAAAAGGCTTTATCTCAATCTTTAGTCTATTTCCTGGTAATTCCACAATCTAAATCAAAAAAGTATCACAAAATTGACGAGTTGCAGATAGAAAAAGGAGAAAGAAGAAAGAGTGAGGAAACTTGGGGTATACGTGACGGTAATGTAATTTCCACTCCCAGTCCCACTCTCATGTTCTCTCTCTCCCTCTTTCCATCTCATTTTAAAAAACAAAATATTTACCCACATTTAAAATAACGTGTTGAAGACGGATGGAAGAGAAAGAAGAAAGAGCGAGGAAACTGCAGGGGTGCACGGGGAGAGAGGAGTCCATGGGTGAGTCTCACGGCACACAATTAAACAAAAACAATGATATCCAAATAATAAACACAACGGACAAAAAATGAAGAAAGGTCTCATTTCCTCTCCCTGAGAAAACCCTAGCACCGTCTCGGGCAAAAATGAAACAACCTTCTCTCTTCTCAGCTTCTCTGCTGCTTCCAAACCCATTTCCCATCGCCATTTTCTGCAAATGAAACCCATCGCCATTTTCAGCAAGCCAAACCGATAGCCTGTTGGAACTTGTGAACTTCGAAGGGACTTTTCAAGTCCCATATCGCCCATTTCACCTAAACAACTCCTCTTTATAAGTGTGTTCCCTCACTTATGGTTTGAAAGAAATTAGGTCAAGGTCATGGACAAAAAAATGTAAGTATCATTTTTACGTTTTTGATTTTTGAATTGAGTTTTTTCCAAAAAAACATTAAAAATTTCCATCGCTTTCTCCTTTGAATCTTCACAGAGAAACACTTAGTAAATTTGTCAAGAATCCAAGTTCGAGTGCAAAAACTTGGATTAGATAGTTGTATCATGCAAGATAGGCGTCCGTAGAACTACTGCACTGGTGTATGGGTGAATTTCTGTCTTAGGATATTGTTACTGCAAGCCTCTATATTCATAAACAAGTAAGCTGAGTTCTTTGAGGAAATTTTTCCTTATAAAGATAGGTCATATGTTTTGAACAAAAGAGTACATGATGATACTACAAGAAATGATGACAATAATCATGCTTGAACTTCTAGAGTTCAAGGCCAAGATTTGGAACCATGGAAGAGTAAAAGAGCAAAGATTGCAAAGGACTTTGGTCCTGATTCCCTCACTTTTCTAATCGAAGAAGAGCTTCAAACTTAGAAGGCTGCATTAGAATCCTCTGAAGCACATTATTGGAAAGAAGCTATTCAAAGTAATGGAATCCATCATGCAAAATAATACATGGGAATTGGTTAATTTGCCTCCTGGAAATAAACCAATAGGACACAAATGGATTTTCAAGAGGAAATTGAGACCGGATGGTACCATAGACAAGTATAAAGCTCGTCTAGTTGCCAAGGGATATCATCAAAAAGAAAGACTTGACTACTTTGACACTTATTCACCGGTAGCTAGAATAACATCTATAAGGTTATTAATAGCTATAGCATTCGTGGACAATCTCGAGATACATCAAACAGATGTCAAGACAGCATTTCTAAATGGTGAATTAGACGAAGAAATATATATGGAACAACCTAAAGGTTTCACTATCAAAGGTCAAGAAAAGAAAGTTGGCAAATTGATTAAGTACTTATATGGACTTAAGCAAGCTCCTAAGCAATGGCATGAAAATTTTGATCATAATATGATCATTAATGGATTTGTTATCAATGAAAGTGATAAATGCATTTATGTTAAGCAAACGAAAATTGCTTGTGTTATTGTATGTCTATACATTGATGACATGCTTATATTGGGAACAAACAAAGATGTGATTAACTCCACAATGAGAGGCTAAATTCTAGCTTCGATATGAAAGATATGGGAATAGCTGATGTGATTCTTGGAGTTCGACTTCCAAGGAATTCAGATGGATATGTCCTAACTCAATCACATTATGTTGAAAAGGTTCTAAGAAGGTTTGGACATTATGATTGTAAATCTGTAGTAACTCAATTTGATCCCATTCATAAACTTACTAAAAACGAAGAAGAGAGCGTATCTCAATTGGAGTATACCCACGTTATAGGTTGCCTGATGTACAATATGAATTGTACAAGACCTGATCTTGCTTATTCAATAAGCTGACTAAGTAGGTATTCAAGTAATCCTGGAAGAGATCATTGGAATGCTTTAATAAGGGTATTAAGATACTTAAAGCAAACAATGAACTGTGGTTTGCATTACATTCAATATCCCCCAGTATTAGAAGGATTTAGTGATGCAAATTGGATTTCAGGGAGCATAGACATTAAATCCACAAGTGGATATGTATTTACACTTGGTGGAGCAGCTGTGTCATGGATATCATCTAAGCAAACGTGTATAGCACGTTCGACAATGTAATCAGAGTTTATAACCTTAGATGCAGCTGCTGATGAAGCTGAATGGCTTAAACATTGTGATCTATGTGTTTGCAGGGGACCTCGATCGACAGCCCTGGTGACAAAAGAGACAACCAGAGAAGGCGGTTGAGATCTTAAACAGCCAGCCATGGAACAAGACTGAAAAGGTATAAAATTGCTTCCCTCTGTCAATTGTGAAATGGGATTTGTAAATATAGTCCCTGGAAGAAGATGGATGCTCAATGTAGAGATCTGATTCCATTACTACAAAAGGACCTTATAGTGTCAGTTGTTGCGTCGGTTTAATATAATATAGTGGCGAAAAAGAGATTTGCGACACTCAGTGAAGATGACGTCATATTTACTGTCGCTTATAAGCGTCATAAAATTTCTACGTCGCTTTTAAACCGACGTAAAAATTTAATGTCGCTTATAACCGACACATATTTTAATATTTTTAAGCACTGGCGTCGCTTTAAATAAAATAGTGTCGCTTTTAAGCGACATAAATTATGGGTGTCGCTTCTAGGCGACACTAATTCTTGTTTTTAATATTTTAAAGCCTGCGTCGGTTCTGAGCGACATATATTTTGAAACCCGGTGTCAGTTGTAAGCGACACATTGATGGTCTTTAAATCCTTTCCCCCGTGTTTTCTTTTTCTTCTCTTGCATTTTTCTTATTCGTTCTTCCAATTTACAAAGCCTCCCCGTGTTCTCTCTCTTTCAGCTTTCTTATTTGGTTTTCCAACTTCATTTGTTCCTCTTCACAACAGTAAGTTTTTCTTGCTTATAATATTTTTATTTTCTCCTCTTATGTTTAATTTTTAGTTACAATTTATTTTTGTAGGAAATTTATTTGAGCTGGTTGAGTACATAAAGAATTGTTGACGTCGAAATTCTTCAACAAATCAGGTTTGTATCACTAACTTCTTTAATTTTTAAATTGTATAATACACAAGTTTATTTATTTAAAAATTATAATTTAAGCACTTAGATAAAATTCTACTATTTTTGTTAAATTAATAAAAATTTAGTCGAATTAATTAATTTTGTCACTTGAATTGTTATGAGA